CTGTTAGCAGACAGCCACTAGATGGCAGCAGTAGCCAAGAAAAGGCTAGATTGAGCCATCTGCAACCGTTTCCCCTCCCCAACCCTCTCTTCCCCAACAGCCCCAGGGGCCAAGCTGACACTCACTAATCTTCTCCAGCTTCTGGTTGCCGTCCTTGAACAGGGCAAAAGCAGCCCGCACCAGCTTCCGATGCAGCTGCCAGGGGGCACCATGGTCGGCGAAGGCGACACCCTTTTGATTGTCTGACAGGATGTTTAGAGTTGCCTTTGGAGAGCAGGAAAGGCTATAGGAATTAGACACCATCCACCCATACTTGCCCTGGGCCTCCTACAATCCCTTCCCCTTCCTGAGGGAGAAGGCAGGTACCTGCCATGCTGACCCTCCTGTGGGCCTCTCTGTTCCACTCCATCATGACTGTAAGGCTTTGGTAGGGCGGGGCCTAAGGCCCCTCTACACCCAATTCCATCAGAGAGAGTGAGGAGAAAGAAAGAACCCCCGAATTAGAATGCAGGAGTCCTGGTGGTCCCGGGGTTCAGATCAATGACAGGGTGATCTCTGGGCTTCTCTTTCCTTGTCAGTTTCTGCCCAATGGAAGGTAGCCATGGGTGGGAAAGCTGTCTGAACTGTGCCTGTCCTGGGGGAAGGAGCAGGCAGGCTTATAGCAACTGCGGACCGCCCAGACCTCTGCCTTTCCCTGGGCCCTCTGGGGGGTGCAGAAGGCACAGAGCTCATCTCGTTTATGTTTACTTTTCCATTGCAAGGCTCTGTGCCTACCACAAGACCACATCTGGAGAGTGTGAATGTCTTGGCCACCCAGTCTGGACTTGGGCCAAGCCACCTCTTCCCAAAAAGCATGAAGGTTGGAAGACTTGTCTCTCCTATCCCCTGACCCCTGAGAGGATGGCTAGCCCCATCTGACTAGCCTCCTCCTTCCTCTTTGCCCTGGAGAGAAGAGCTCAGTAGAGCTAGAAGTGAGATAGTTTGGCCAGCAGACCTGGCTGACCGGTCCAAGAAAAAAATGAGTCAATCCTTGGCCTGATCCGTGATGAGTGGCTGGGGGCCCTCCTGAGGTGTTCAGCAGCAGGGTCCTGGGATGGGGCGTTGGCAGTGTTTCTGGATTAGTCCCCCTCCTCCTCCCTCGAGAGCACCCCAGAAAGCTCGGTAGGATGGATCATCAGCATCCCCAAATTGCTACTGTGGGTCAGCTGAAGCAGTTGTGGACAGCCCCAGAGCAACAGCAATCCCAGTCCTCCAAGAGCCAGTTTACTTCTCTCTTGCACCTTCCCACAAAGGGCAGCAATGCTAACCCCGTTTTCCATATGAAGAGCAACTCTTAAAGGCTATTGATTGAGCGTTTAACTGCGCTGGGCTCTGAGCAAAGTGCTTTATATGCATCATCTCAGTTCATTATGGAAGTCTGGGCTCAGAGAGATCATCATCCAGTTCAGAGGTGAAAGGATTGGGGTGAGGGCTCCCTGACCCGCTCAGACTCCCACCCCACTCCACCTCCTGAGCAGCCTAGAAAATTAGGTCTCCCTTTAATTCCTCCTGCCTAGTTAGAAGCTGGGTAGGGTCTGAGGAGTCCAGCCCACCCACAGCCCTGCTTGTCTGTTTGTGGAAGAATTACAGGTTGTTGGAGCTGGAAGGGTCATGTCGGGCATGGTCTTGGTTGAAGAACTGAACAACCCCAGGGGGTGGTTAGAGAGGGGGGATGATGGGCGCTGCTTACCACTTGGGGCCGCCCGGAGAATTCCTTGCCCTTCTTGATAAGCACCTCCTTGGCCAGTTGGTAGTGGCCGACCATCACCGTAGTCTTGGTACCCATGCGCAAGGAATAGATGGGGCCGTATTTTTTCTGCAGCTTGAAGAAGTTCACATGCGGATGGCCATGTCTGGGAAGGAACGGCAGGCTGCCCACCAAGGGCAGGTATGGGAGGCTCTTGGGGTACTTGGCACCAGGGCACTTAACCTTGGGCCGAAAGAAATAGGCTATGGCCAACAGCAGGAAAGCCAAGAGCTCCCACATTGTGGCCAGTCTCAGCAGGCAGCACAGACAGCTGTGGAGTGGAAGAGCTGTAGCCAAACTAGGGTAGAAGGAGGCCTTTATAAGCGCTGCGCTCGTCTTCGCCTTGGCTATGTGTTATCTCTTGCCTTGTGGAGGTTTATCCTGGAGCACAGCCAGGCCTGAGCCGTTTTCCACAACGGGGAGAGGAACGGGGAGTGGAGGCCTCCTTAAGGACGGGCTCAACTCCAGGGCAAACCCCTAGAGGAGGGGCTAGGTAAGGGGAGCACGGCTTCCTCCTCCCTGGTGCTCCCCAGGGCGCGCCAGAAGCAAATGGTATCTGGGTCGGGGATCAAGGCTTGGGACTTTCCATGTTGTAAATCAAAATGAGTGGACAGATGACATCATCAGGAGGATTACAACCAGCAGGGACTGTCAAAGATATTTTATCCAATCTTATCATTTAACAGCTAAGGAGAGTGAGGCCTTCAAAGGTCAGGCTTGTATAAGGTCACACAAGACAGTGACGGCAAGAACCCAGATGTCCTGACTCCTGGTTTGCTGCTTTTTCCAGAGGCAGTGAAGTGCTCGGGTCGAGAGCATGGGCCCTAGAGTCAGATAGGTTTGTGTTCAAATTCTAGCTTAGCCACTTTCTAGCTATAGGACCTTGGGGGAGTTACTTAACTTTTCTTAAAAAATTGTTTTTATTATATTAAAATATACGTAAGATAAAAGTTACCATTTTAACCATTTTTAAGTGTACAGCTCAGTAGAATTAAAGATACTCACAATATTGTACAACCATTACTGCTATCTACTTCCAAAGCTTTTTCATCACCCCAAACAGAAACTGTACCCACTAAGCAGTAGTCCCCATTTCCCCCTCCCCCAGCCCCTGGCAACTTCTAATCTACTGTCTCTATGAATATGCCTATTTCATGTAAGGGGAATTATATAATATTTGGTTCTTTGTGTCTGGCTTATTTTACTTAGCATAATGTTTTTGAGGTTCATCCATATTGTAGCATGTGTCTGAACTTCATTCCTTTTTTTAAAAATATTTTATTTTTCCTTTTTCTCCCCAAAGCCCCCCGGTACATAGTTTCATATTTTTAGCTGTGGGTCCTTCTAGCTGTGGCATGTGGGACACCACCTCAGCATGGCCTGACAAGTGGTGCCGTGTTCACACCCAGTTTCCGAACCGGTAAAACCCTGGGCGGCTGAATCAGAGCGTGTGAACTTAACCACACGGCCACGGGGCCAGCCCCTCTTCATTCCTTGTTATGACTGAACAATAAAGTACAGACACTGGCAGACCACCCCCGGAGATGAATCTATTCATCTATTATATGGGTATACCACATTCATTTATCTGTTCATTCATTGATGGACACTTAGGTCGTTTCTACCTTTCGGCTATTGTAAATAATGCTGCTATGAACATGGGTGTACAAGTATCTGTTTGAATTCCCGTTTTCAATTCTTTTGGGTGTATACCTAGGAGTGAAATTGCTGGGTCAGAAAGTAATGTTATGTTTACTTAACTTTTTTAGGTTTCAGCTTCCTCCTCTATAGATGAGAATACTAATAGAATATACTCTCATGGTGGTTGTGATTCAATGAGATAGTGCATACCTGGCATGAAATAAACGCTCATTCAATATTTACTCCTATCATTATTAGATTAAAATGAACTTCCTAGTTTTTCTGAGCTCTTATTACTAGATCTTCTTGACAGACAAAACCCTCGTCCTCTGCTGCAAACCTTCGGTGGTTCAATGAGTATCTACCAATGATTTGATGTTACCGGGTGAAGTCTCAGCCCCGAGGGAGCGGACATTGCTGGAGTGAATTATCGTAGAAGGGGTCCTCAGACAAGCAACCAAAACTCCTGGAGCGAGACTCACCAAGGTGAGAGATGGAATTTCTGCCCCTCTCTCGGGCGCTCTGCCAGGGTATTTTGAGGAGTACAGGCTGATGTTAGGGCTATGGGAGTTGAGCAGAAAGGCACCAGGTATGGGAGCTCATGATAAAGATGAGCCGGCAAGGTCTTGTAAGCCAGACTTTCTGCCCATTACTCCAAATGTTCAAACGTGGTTCGGGCTTTTAGGTCCATTCGTAGTCAGAGGTCTGGGCGGTGGTAGTCGGAGAAGCCTTCATGAGAGAAAGGGGATTTGAGCTAGGCCTTGAAGGAGGGTTAGGACCATGAGGCAGAGGTGTGGGGATGGGGGGACGAAGGGCTCTGCCAGAAGGGAAAGCAGCAGAGTGAAATACCTGGAGGCTGGAAGGGGCATGATGGGCATGGGGTGGTGATGGTCCTGACTACAGACGCGAAGGACGAGTGCTGTGGGTCCCTGAGCAGTGAGATCTGACGGGGCACTGAATCAGCCTCTGGAGCCCTGAAATGGAAGGCTAGGGAGGACGGAGGAGCTATGGAAAGTTCTGCATCGAGGGAGTGTAACCGAAAGTTCGGTCTCTAAACCCGATGCCAATCCAAATAATGAGAACAGAGTCTTGAGTGGAAGAGGAAAGGTTTTTACTATGCCAGGCACAGGGAGCAAAGCAAGGGCTCGTGCCTCAAAAATTGCTGGCTCCCCAATGAGGAATGGGTAGGGATTTTTATTTGGGGTTTTGGGGAGGGGAGGGGGCGCATGTAGCTTGTGCAGTTTGGCATTTTCCCACCAGCCTGCGTTTGGCCATGAGAGGCTGCTTGCAGCCAGGCGAGGGGGAGGGTGAGATAGGAGGATGGCAGGTGGGTGTCCTTCGCAGTTGTCTCCTCTTCCTGTTTGAAGCGGGTTCGAGCGCCGGGAGTAGGAGTTGAGGTCTGGGAAGCCTCCGCTCCTCGATATCCTTGAGACAGCGGCTTTCCTGGCAAACTCAAGGACACATGATTAGCTAAACTTTAGTGTGCCTCCAACTCCAGGCCACCTGGGCTTTTCACAATTTGTAACTCCCATTTAGTTGTAAAGCTCAAGGAGTCCAAGTTTAAAGAAACAGGTATTTACATATGAGTGGAGCTAGAGGAGCAGGAAAGGGGGTGGTGGGTTTTAGTTTTAACCCCATATACGCTGGGTTCGATGTGGGGGAACTGATATCAGGGCTGACGTTAAGAGCCTGTAACATATGCCTCACTGTCATTTCTTGCTTTCCATTTCTATGGAAAAGGGGCGTCGTGGTCGTCTAGCTGCTTCCTGCTGTATTGGGGCGACGCTAGGGGGTCCTTGAGATGGAAAGCTTGAACATGCTTTTGCTAGTTTTTTCTGTGGGTGGTTAGTGTTCCGGTTGCAGTCCTGCGAATACCGGAAATACAACAGAAAAGCAACTTAAACATAATGTCTATCCCCGCCATCGATAGAAGTATAGATAAACCAAAATGTAAAATGCCAGATAATGCAGACTGGATTTTTTTTGGTATCCAGGAAAATAAGCTTGAAGACCAGTCACCCATGTCTGTTTTTATTCCATCTAGGATGGAAGCATGATGATCTAATGTTTGTTGTAACCAGGTAGCCTGTTGTCTGATCTTTTCAATACTAGTCTCTATTTGTGGTGAAGTCTTTATATATGTGCAACAAGAGGTGTTAGCTAACTCCACCTTGTTCAGCTAGAATATAGTCCAAAGCCATGTGATTATCTAATACAGCTGTTGCAAAAGAGTCAAGAGAGGTTTGGACATTGAGGAGGGACTTGGCAGTTTCATTTGCTATGATTGTTAGGGTTCGAGACAGATTGCGGAGCACATGTTGATGGGCTGCGACTCCCCACCAGGGCAATAGAGTATACCCAAAGAAATATTCATCTCCATCAGGAATGTTTCCTGGCAAGTCTTGGGTAACTCGGGTATATAATTTTAAGGAACTTGGCCAATGTTTTGATTCACTTAGGTTGTGGAGCGTAAATGGAGTCACCAGATTCGCAAGGAGGCACTGAGTGGGAAAAGTGAAATTGCGGAGGCACTCCGTAGCCCAAGGGTAATCATTGATTTTGCAAACAAAAACATGTCCGGGAGGGGCACAAAAGACCTTACTTTCACCTTCATTGTGAGTACAGTAACCTGCAGAGCTATTAGTATAGAAATAGTAACCAACTTTGAATCCAGTTCCATCCAGGGTCGCTCTAGAAATGAAAAAAGTCAATTATAGCCTTAATTCCTTCCGCAGGGTATCTATCTGGTGGGCCGTCGGGAACACATGGGGAGCTGCTCCAAAGGCGGAGATGGAGTCATTACAAAGTATCCAGGTATCCGCTGGGCGCCCTGTGTCCAATATATGGCAGTACTTGGGGAGAGAGGAAGTGTAAGACAGGCGATGTTAGAAGAGTTCTTAACGGGGAGGTGACTAATGCGCACCCAGTACATGAGGGTGTGTGCTCTAAGATCTCGTGTAAGGACCCAGTCTCCGTCGGGAACCTGAGTAAAGTCTGATACGGGATGTACCAGGGGGTCCCCATGATCCAGAGTGGACTGAGCTCGGGGAAGGCAAATCCAGCAGTCCACTGCTTGTGTTGCATTAGCAATGGTCTGTGCAATGCGCACTAAGGAGCTATCCAGCCAGGCTGCAACTAGAAAATGCAAGGAATAGAAATGAGTTAGGAACAGGAAGCATCTCATGATTGTTTTCTAAAAAGCAACTTAAGACCCTCCAGTGGTTTACTTTCCCACTTAGCAGGAGAAGACGTTTGTGGCTGAAAATTATCTGGACATTTCTTTCCTCGAGTGTGGTGGACCCACGGTTTCACACCTGCCAATTTAAGGGATGTATGGGTCGTTGACAACACATCATTGGGCCCTCTCCATTTTTCTTCAAGTTGTTGTTCTGGCCCTTGTTCCTTCCACGCCTTCAGAAGTACTGTCTCCCAGCTGGAATGGATGTAGTGAAGTTTCAAGACGGGGAGGAGACCTGGAGGAGATAAACTCATGCATAGTAGTTAATATTTGACCCAGATGCTGTACATACTGCTTTAATCTAATTTCCGTAATTGCATGGGGGTCCTCCCATTTTCCCCATGGAGCTAGGAAGGGTCTCCCATATATTGTTTCATAGGGGCTTAAACCAAGTCCACTTCTAGGGGCCACTCTGATACGGAGGAGGGCAATTGGTAGCACTTTGTCCCACTTTAGATGGGTTTCTTGACAGAGTTTGGCAATTGTCTTCTTTAGAGTGTGATTCATCTTTTCCATTTTTCCTGTGGATTGTGGTCTCCACGAGGCACGCAGCTTCCATTTGATCCCAAGAACCTTACTTACTGGTTGTGTTGCTTCAGCCACAAAGGCAGGTCCGTTATCACTCTGGATGCTAGATGGCAATCCGAACCTAGGGACAATCTCTTTCAGCAAACATTTGGCTACCTTGGTGGCTTTCTCAATTCTGGTGGGGAATGCTTCTATCCATCCTGAAAAAGTGTCTACAAATACTAACAAGTATTTGAAATTCCCGGTTGTCTTAGGCATTTGCGTAAAGTCCACTTGCCAGTCCTCACAAGGTTGCTCCCCAGAATATTGAGTTCCCTTTTTCAAGGGTTGCCTTTCTGTTTTTGGGTTGTGACTGACACAGATTGGGCAAGAGTAGGAGGCCTTTCGAGCCAGTTGGTGTAGCTTAGGCCCCCTGAGGTGAGGTCGTAAGAGGTCCACTAAAGCATCTCTTCCATAATGATGCATTCATGCAAATATTTTATTAAGGGCCACACCAGGGCCTCAGGGAGTAGAATAAGACCATGAAGATTTATTTTCCATTTGTGAGAAGGATCCCAATTATTAAACCCCCATTCCTGTGCCCTTTTCAAATCTTCCTCCGTATAGGAGGGCTCACATTGACTTAAGTCCAGTTGCGGGATGAGGGCCCCCCAAAATTTAGGCCCTCTGGCAGCTTTCTTGGCAGCCTTGTCTGCCATTCGATTTCCAACAGCCACATATGAGCCAGTCTTCTGATGGCCTGGGCAGTGCATAATGGCTACTGCCTTTGGTTCTGTTACTGCTTGTAGTGGAGCTAATATTTCTGGGGCATATTTTATTTCCTTTTGCCCTGCAGTCAGCAGCCCTCTTTCCTTCCATATGGCCCCGTGTGCATGGACTATCATGAATGCATATTCAGAATCTGTGTATATATTTACTTTTTTCCCTTTGGATAGTTGCAAAGCCCTCGTAAGAGCAATTAACTCTGCTTTTTGTGCCGATGTTCCTGGGGAGAAGGCTTGTGCCTCGATAACCTCGCCTTCCACTTCGTTACCACTGCATAGCCTGCTCGTTTTTGCCCATCCTCCATGAAGCTGCTGCCATCAGTAAACAGGTCCCAATCAGGGTTTGTCAAGGGCTGATCCAACAAATCTAATCAGCTGGAACACACAGTCTCTAAGACTTCTAGGCAATTATGAGAGTTAATATTATTTTCAGAGGTTGGTAATAAGGTGGCAGGATTTAAGGTTGTTACAGCCCTTAAAGTGACATTGAAGTCATCTAACAAAATAGCTTGGTACCTGCCCATCCTCCCGGCAGTTAGCCAATATCCCCCTTTTTGTTCAAGGAGGACAAGCACTTGGTGGGGCACATATACCACGATAGGCTGTCCCAGGGTAAATTTCTCTGCTTCCTGGAGTAAATCACAGGTGGCTGCTATAGCCCGCAGACATGGGGGCCATCCTTTGGCAGTGTGATCCAATTGTTTAGATAAATAAGCCACTGGTCTGGGCACCTCTCCCAGACATTGCATTAGTACTCCCAGAGCTATTCCCCCTGTCTCTCATTTACATATAGCTTGAATTCTTTTTTTAGATCTGGAAGGCCCACAGCAGGTGCAGTCAACAACTTTTGCTTTAAAACCTCAAATGCCTGTTGGCATTCTCCTGACCATACAAGGGGATCTGTTTCTTTTCCCTTCAAAGCATCATATAATGGTTTGACTATCAATCCAAAATTGGGAATCCAGATCCAGCAAAACCCTGCCATACCTAAGAATCCCCTTAACTGTCTTCGATTTTGAGGAGCTCTCACCTGCAAAATCGCCTGTCGTTGGTCAGACATTAAGTTGCGGGTGCCTTGGCTTATTTGAAAACCCAAATAGGCCACTTGTTGTTTACAGATCTGGGCCTTTGTGGGGGATACCTTGTAGCCACACCAGGCAAGGTGATTTAGCACTATAATGGTGTTGTTCAAGCAGTGCTGGTAACTAGGACTTGCTATCAGCAAATCATCGACATATTGTAGTAATGTTCCCTGATTGAGTTGGAGTCCCCTCAAGTCTTTTGCCAAAGTTTCATTAAACAGGGTAGGGGAGTTCTTAAACCCCTGAGGCAACACAGTCCAACAATATTGGTTGGTGGCGCGTGTATTTGGGTCTTGCCATTCGAAGGCAAACAATAGCTGAGATTTCCTTTCCAATGGAATGCAAAAAAAAGCATCCTTAAGGTCCAATACTGAAAACCAGCCGTATTCCCCTGGTACAGTAGTTAATAGTGTATAGGGGTTTGGTACTGTTGGATGTATATCCTGTACAATGTCATTAATGGCTCTTAAATCCTGCACAAACCGGTACTCATCTGAGTGTGGTTTCTTGACTGGTAAAATAGGCGTGTTGTATGGTGATTGGCAGGGCCTTATCAGCCCACGCTGCAAAAATCTTTGCGAAACCGGTTGGATACCTTTTAAGACCTCTTTCTTCAGGGGATATTTTTCTATCTTGGACAAGAGGCTCCTTTTTTTTTTTTTTTTAAAGATTCTATTTTTTCCTTTTTCTCCCCAAAGCCCCCTGGTACATAGTTGTATATTCTTCATTGTGGATCCTTCTAGTTGTGGCATGTGGGACGCTGCCTCAGCATGGTTTGATGAGCAGTGCCATGTCCGCACCCAGGATTCAAACCAACGAAACACTGGGCCGCCTGCAGCAGAGTGCGCGAACTTAACCACTTGGCCATGGGGCCAGCCCCAAGAGGCTCCTTTTTTAAGTTCAATTTTTATTGGGCTGGCAGATCGAGCTCGTCTGGGCACCCCATCAGCCCAGACGGCTGGACTCACTCGTTTGTGGCTCTCAGGCGGTATTGGGTGCTCTCCTTCTTCCGTTCTTTCCAGGAGGGCTTGTAGTCTGAGTGCATTTTCCAGTGGCACTGTAGGTGAAGCTGCTTCTTCTTGTGTGAAAAAGTTATCTGAGCATTCAGTTTACAGAGCAAACCTCGTCCGCGGAGAGGAATGGGACAATCTGGTATGTAGAAAAAGCTGTGTTTTAACTTTTGTTCTCCCAAGCTGCATTCCAGCGGTTGTAGCATGGGTCTCTGCTGAGTTTCGCCTGTGACTCCAACAATGGCAATTGAGGAATTACTTAATGATGTCAATTTGCTGTTTAACACTGAATAAGTGGCACCAGTATCCTCTAGAAAATCAACCAGTTGGGTCCCCACTGTCATTTGTACCCGGGGCTCGTGGGGGACTATTGGAATGGGAGCTGCCAGCATGGCAAGGAACCCCGGGCCCCGTCAATCATCATCTTCCTCCTCTAAGTTCCGGACTCGAGGGGCCATGGGCCTTCTTGGGGGAAGACATCTTTCCCCTTTGGTGTCTATTTCTAGCTTAGGGCATTCGTTTTTCCAGTGCCCTTCTCCCTGCAATAGGCACACTGATTTCTCTCTAACTTTTGGAGTCTTTTCCTCCTCAGTCTTGGATCCCCTTCCCCATTTCTCCAGTTTAGGGAAGCTGCATGGAGCACTTTCACTGGCCCGGCTTTATGCTCCTCCCGAGCATTATAAACTTCAAAGGCAATTTCCACTAATTGACCAGGGCTCGTGGCTATGGCCCCTTCAACCTTATTAAGCTTCCTCCTAATGTCTGGGGCACTCTGTCCAATAAAGGTCATGTTGACCATCCGAAGGTTTTCAGGGGCTTCTGGGTCTGAATCAGTATATTTTCTGTAGGCCTGATATATGCATTCTAAAAACGCTGCAGGATTTTCTCCTGTTTCTTGCCGGAGTTCCTGAATTTTGTTTAGGCTCCTTTGTTTGGGGACTCCTTTTTTAAGTCCAGCCAAAACACACCTTCGGTAATGGCTTAATAGTGCTTTCCCTGCATCCGTGTTTGGGTCCCAACTGGGCTCTACTTGGGATGTGGCCACGTCGGGAGAGGGAGTTTGAGTGGGATCCTCATCATGCAAATGCTGAGCCTAATCCCTGATTTTTATCACTACAAGGCGCCGCTCGCCTGTAAGCGTTATACTTAACAAAGATTGAATGTCTGCCCAAGTAGGGCGATGGGTAGAAAAAATAGTTGTAAACAAATCTGTCATCTTTTGTGGCTCTTTCTGGTAGGACGGGTTCTTGTTTTTCCAGTTTAGCAAATCAGAGGTTGAGAAAGGGGTATAAGTCCAATAGTAGGTGGCCGGTTGCCCCTGACCGTTTGTCCCTACGGGCAGCTGGCGCAGAGGGAATTGCCCTGCCCCCATTCCAGAAGACCCCTGGCCAAAAGGAGCACCCTGTCGGGTTCTCGAGGGGGAGACAGTTCCTGCTCCTGGTTCGTTCCTAGGCTGATCTGTTGGGGACTCGGCCCCCACTACCACCTCTTCATCTGATACTGGCAGACACAAAGGGGGCAGTTGCCGTGGGGGTTCCCTCCCGCTTCCCGCCGCCTGGGGTTGCGGTGGGGAGCGGGAGGCACCTACGATTGGTGGTTGTGTCACATTGAAATTAGGATTAAAAGGATTTAACACACTCAAGGCAGTTATGTCCTCATCAAGTTTTTCTTCCGGTGTCCGAATATCTTTGATTACCGGAGGCTTAGCTTTTCTTTGGACCATCAGCTTGGTCCCTGGCCGTTCACCTTCCTGATTATGCAACCGCATAAAAGCCTGCACATACGGAATCTCATCCCACTTCCCAGACCTTTCACAAAACCACTCCAACTGCAATATAGTGTAATAATTTAAAGTTCCATTCAACGGCCATCTTTCCTCGCTTTCCAAGACATACATTGGCCAGGCAGTGTTACAATAGAATACCATTTGATTTTTCCTCATTGGCTTATAACTATAGGTCGACCAGTCAGCCAATATTTTCCCCAAGGGGCTCTTAGGTGGAACAGATATGGCGCCTCCCATGTTGACACTTTGAAAGGACAGACAGACAGACAGACAAAAACAAATACCAAACAAGCGCGCTTTCCCAAAAACCCACGGCCACAAACGGAAGCCAAAAACCAAAACCCAAACCAAAGTGCTTCCAGTCCCAGCTTAGTCCGTGTCCTACACTCGGGGGCGCCCAACAAATGAAGATCGGCCATGCAGAGCTTCCCAAACGAGCAAGGACAAGGGACCTCGGTTGTGCACGCCCGGGGGACTTACCAAAATTTGGCCGGGGCGTCGTGGCGACTTCAAACAAATGCACTTTCCTTTTCCTCAAGATAGCTTCCCTGGTAACCAGAGGTCCGAACAGTCGCCCTGGGAGGAGGCAGGAGGGAAGACTCCCAAAGCAAAATGGGCTTTGGCAGCTGCTGCAGCGGCCCCTCCAGATGTCCCTGGTGCTCCGCGGAGTCGGGCCAAGGGAGGCGACCTGGATTCGACCTGGGATGAAGTCCCACCAACTAAGCACCGGCCCTCGGCGATCTGGCCTCCCTGAGTCTTCCTCCAACCCTCCACTTCCCCTATTGGGGCAGTCGCGGAGTACGACTCTGGAGCATCCGATCAAGCCAAGAGGGTCTCAGTGGGGGCCACCCACAGGTCCCATCTGGGTCACCAAATTTGTAACCGAAAGTTCGGTCTCTGAACCCGAGGCCAATCCAAATAACGAGAACAGAGTCTTGAGTGGAAGAGGAAAGGTTTTTACTATGCCAGGCACAGGGAGCAAAGCAAGGGCTCGTGCCTCAAAAATTGCTGGCTCCCCAATGAGGAATGGGTAGGGATTTTTATTTGGGGTTTTGGGTAGGGGAGGGGGTGCATGTAGCTTGTGCAGTTTGGCATTTTCCCACCAGCCTGCGTTTGGCCATGAGAGGCTGCTTGCAGCCAGGCGGGGGGGAGGGTGAGATAGGAGGATGGCGGGTGGGCGTCCTTCGCAGTTGTCTCGTCTTCTTGTTTGAGGCGGGTTCGAGCGCCGGGAGTAGGAGTTGAGGTCTGGGAAGCCTCCGCTCCTCGATATCCTTGAGACAGCGGCTTTCCTGGCAAACTCAAGGACACATGATTAGCCAAACTTTAGTGTGCCTCCAACTCCAGGCCACCTGGGCTTTTCACAATTTGTAACTCCCATTTAGTTGTAAAGCTCAAGGAGTCCAAGTTTAAAGAAACAGGTATTTACATATGAGTGGAGCTAGAGAAGCAGGAAAGGGGGTGGTGGGTTTCAGTTTTAACCCCATATATGCTGGGTTCAATGTGGGGGAACTGATATCAGGGCTGATGTTAGGAGCCTGTAACAGGAGTGACCGGGACAGTGGAGTTTTAGGAGGTGACTTTGGGATCAGTGCCAAGGTAGACTGGATGAGGAGATCTTGTGTAAAGTGTGACAGCTTGGTGAGAAGTGGGGAGGCCTGGGTCCTGTGATCCAGACCTAAGTGGTGTCAACCAGCTGGTAGAGAAATATGAATAAGAACCTTCTATCCTAAAGTAAATGCCAGGTGGTTCTCTGATGTTTCACCCACAACCACAAGCTAGACATGGGAATTTTATTATTATTGTTTTTCATTATTATTTTATTGAGGTCATATTGGCTTATAATATTGTGTAACAAAAATCGGAATTTAAAAAAAAATGTAGAGGTCAGCTCCTGTGGCCTAGTGTTTAAGTTCAGCGCACTCTGCTTCAGCGGCCTGGGTTCAGTTCCCGGGCACAGACCTACACTGCTCTGTTAGTGGCCATGCTGTGCTGGTGGCCCACATACCAAAAAATAGAGGAAGATTGGCACAGATGTTAGTTCAGGGCAAATCTTCCTCAGCAAAAAAATTAAAAAAAAAAAAAGATTTCAAGAAGTTGTTGCGGCAGGCCCCATGGCCAAGTGGTTAGGTTCATGTGCTCCGCTTCAGTGGCCCAGGGTTTCACTGGTTCAGATCCTGGGTGAGGACATGGCACCGCTCATCAGGCCATGCTTAGGCAGTGTCCCACATGCCACAACTAGAAGGACCCACAACTAAGATATGCAACTATGTACTGGCGGGACTGGGGAGAAAAAGCAGGAAAAAAAATTGTTGTTTCACATCCTCATCACCGTATTATAAAAGTTATACATGATAATTGCAGAAAATCTGGCAAATGTGGATAGCTAAAGATAAATGAAAAATTTGAAATGTATTTGCTAGCCTAAATGAACCCATATTGCATTTTTTGGGGGCATGCACATTTTTCTGTTATTAAAGACTTTTCTACAACATTATTTTATTATTTTTTTTGGAGGAAGATTAGCCCTGAGCTAACTACTGCCAGTCCTCTTTTTTTTGCTGAGGAAGACTGGCCCTGAGCTAACATCATGCCCATCTTCCTCCACTTTATATGTGGGACGCCTGCCACAGCATGGCTTGCCAAGTGGTGCTGTGTCTGCACCCGGGATCCGAACCGGTGAACCCCAGGCCGCTGAAGTAGAACATACACACTTAATTGCTGTGCCACTGGACCGGCCCCTTCTACAACATTATTTTTAATGGCTGCATATTATTCCATTGTATGTATATCATACATATACAGCATAGTTTATTTAACTGATACTGTATTGTATTAGTGGACATTTAGGTTGTTTCTGTTTTTGTCTTTGTTGTTGATATAAACAACACTAAGAAATAGCCTTGTAGTGAAACCTTTCTGCATAACTGTTAATATTTTCTTAGGATAGAATCCTAAAAGTGGAGTTGTGGTCAAAGGCTATGTATGCATATTTTAAAGACTTGTGACAAATACTGACTTATTTATGAGATGCATTATTTTAATAGATTTCTTGGGTGTCCAACTATTCCTGGAATAGTAGTACCTTATCCAGAATGTCTTCTTCTTCTTTTTTTTGGCTTGAGGAAGATTTGCCCTGTGCTAACATCTGTGCCAGTTGTCCTCTATTTTTTACACGGGTTGCTGCCACAGCATGGCGGCCAATGAGTGGTGTAGGTCCACACCCGGGAACCCAACCTGGGCCACCGAAGCAGAGTGTGCTGGACTTAACCACTAGCCCATGGGGCCACCCCCCAGAGTGTTTTAAGATAGAATTAAATTCTCTTTGTAAATTACTTAGGATTTTCTTTCTTTTGCATCTCTTGTCATATGAAAACTTGGGCTATAATTTTCTTATTTATGCATTGTCAGATTTTGGTATTATGATTTTCTAGTTGTATAAAGTTATTGGTAAAACCTTCAATCTTTTATTATATGCTAAAGCAGATTAAATAGCATGGGAATGGTCTATTCTTTGAAGTTCTAAAGAAAGGTGACCATGAGAATTGTCAGGTCCTAGTGCCTTTTTTGGAAAGATAATTCTCTAACATAATTTTCCAGTTTCTTCAATAGCTATTGGTGTTCTCAACTCTTCTCAGTCTTCTGGAGTTATTATGGCAATTAATGTTTCTTAAAATTTTGTGTTTTCTATTTTTTTTCTTGACTTGGCTTGTCAGAGGTTCTATTAATATTTTCAAAGAATCTCCCTCTGGATTTATTCAAGTCTTTGTTGTGATTTTAATTTGGTCTCAGTGTTGATAAATGATTAATGCAAAATATCCTGTGTAACTTTACACCAGATTTCAGACTGAAAGCTTGTATGAATTTCCCTTCCCTTGCTTCCCTGTTTTCCTCGTTTCTTGTCTAAAACACAAGCCCCATTATCTACTAGAGCTGAACTTATGACCCGGGAACACTATTCTTAGGTATACAACCGGCAGAATGTGTACATATGTTCACCAAAAGGCATGTTCAAGAGTGTTCATAGCAGCGCTATTTGTAATCATCCAAACTAGGAAAAACCCAAATATTTATTGATTTGTAGAATGGATAAATTGTCATACGTCATACTATAGAGATGAGAAGGAATGGACTGCAACTACTTGTGCCGACACGGATGAACCTCACAAACATAACATTGAGTGAAGAAACCAGGCTCATAAGAATGCATAGTGTATGATTTCATTTATGTAAGTTTCAAAAAAATATATGAAACTAATCTGTGGTTATAGAAGTCAGGCTAGTGGTTACCCTTAGGGGGTGGTTAGTGGCTGAAAGAGGTCTCAAGGGGAGGTTTCTGGGGAGCAGGTAATGTTCTGTTTCTTGATCTAGTTGCTGGTAACACAGTATGTTCACTCTTAGCTGGACACCAATTATTTGTATGTATGTTATACTTCAGTAAAAAGTTTACTTTAAAAAAGTTGGGTGTGTATGGAGTTTGTGGCGCGTGTTATGTATAAATATATATTTTTCTGGAGAGAGGATCCATAGCTTTCATCAGCTTCCAAAAACAGTGACTTCCCCATTGGCTGAAGGCTCCCTGTATTCTTACCTATTCCCATCCCCATCTTGCTTTATGATGCTTCTACTCCACCCAGCCTCCAATTGCTTCTCTCCTTCTCTCAAAAACCTTTTTTCTGAGCCCTCTGGTATTCTCTCTTTCTAGAACAAGCATACTTCCCTCTTTTCCTTATCTAACTATAGAATATTCTACCTCCTGCCTTACCGAAACTGGACCCTTCTCTGAGGACAGCCCTTCCCCTGCTGTCCTTTTGAAGACATCTATTGTCCAGGTTAGGCAATGGAATTGACATTCTCTTCACTCGCAACAGCCTCCAGGCCGCCACTCCTCCACCTTTGAGTACGAATTCTTGCTCCTTTACAGTTTCAAACCTTTGTCATTGCAATTACTTACTGACCTCCTATTGCTCATTTTCATTTAAGATTCATTTTAAGATTTGGGCACCAGGCTCACATCTTTCCTCTCCATCCTTCTGTCATCCCGCATGACTTTAGAGTCCATGGAGGATGATAAGCCAACATCCCAACCTCACAGTTCCTTCATCTCATCAAGTCCTTACTTCCACTTCAATTACTCTTCCAAACTTCAAGCCCCATTCTCAACCCCATTCTTTTCATGCTCAGCAGATAACCTTACCTTTTACTTAAGGAATCTGAGGCCATTAAGTTCAATTTCCCTTAATTTACACTCTATCACATCCTTTCCTGCAATCTTAAAGGTGAGGAATTGCTACTGCTGTTTCTAATCAACTCCTCTAACAATGTGGCAAAATAATAACTTTATTGAGCATTTGTATTGTATTACATCTACTATCTCATTTAATCCTTATAAAAACTCTACAAGGTAGGTACTATTATTATCACCATCTCCGTTTTACAAATGAGGAAACAAACACAAGGACTTGCCCATGGCCATATAACTAGTCAATGATGAAGCTTGGATCTAAGCAGTCTAAAGCTGTTAGTTCTTAACTGCAATACTTTTCTGCTTCTCATAATATAGACTGAAATTTTTTATATGCATATCTTTTGAACCAATTATTCCAATTCCAGGAATTTATCCTGCAGATGTCTCATAGTTTGATGTACAAAACAAATCATTTCAGCAATGTTTATAATTGCCAGTAATATGCCCACCATGAGTAGGAGATTGGAATACAATGCAGTCAGAAAAAAGGAGGAAACACTTTGTGTGCTTACTGTGGAAAGATTTCCAAAATATATTGTTAGATTTAAAAAAAGCAAAAGTAAGAATTATGTGTATTGAATGCTTCCATTTGTGTGAAAAAAAGAGAGAAGAATAAATGTACTTTTTTGCTCGTGTATGCACAACGTATCTCTGGAAGGCTAGACAAGAAGCTCATGAATTTGATCGTCTATGGGAAGAAAAATTAGGAAGCTGGTGGGTGGCAGTGGGAGGAAGACTTTTCAGTGTGTACCCTTTCGTAACTTAAAAAAAATTGAATGTTGTGAATGCATTACCCATTTCAAAGTTGAGATAAAAATTAAAAAGAGAAAAAAGAAGAGAGGAACACAGATAGAAAATATTTTAACTCACTGTATTAAGCAATATATTTAAATTTAAATATTAAAAATTAAAAAATTGACCCTACCACCTATATCCTTGACCCTGTTCCCTCACGCCTCCCACAGATTCTTGTTTCTTTCATCATTTTCCTCTCGCATCTTCAGCTCCACCTGTCTATTAGCTTCTTCTCCTCAGATGACAAATATGCTTAAGACTTTTATCCCAGGGGACGGCCCCATGGCCTAGTGGTTAAGTTTGCGTGCTCTGCTGTGGCGGCCCAGGGTTTTGCTGGTTTGGATCCTGGGCGTGGACATGGCACCACTCATCAGGCCACGTTGAGGTGGCATCCCACATGCCACAACTAGAAGGACCCACAACTGAAAAAATATACAACTATGTACTGGGGGGATTTGGGGAGAAAAAGCAGAAAGAAAAAAAATTAGATTGGCAATGGTTGTTAACTCAGGTGCCAATCTTTAAAAAAAAAAAAAAAAGACTTTTATCCCAAATAAAATTTTTAAATCATCCACTGACACCACATTCCCCTCTAATTTTCCTTTAATTTCTCTTCTCTTTTCAATCAGACTTCTTGGTAGAATAAGAGACACTTGTGTCCCTGTCTTATTCCCATTCATTGTATACTCATTGCAGTTTGGCCTCTGACCCCACATTATTGGAATTGCTGTTAATAAGGTCGGCAGTGGCCTTCATATTGCCAAATCTATTGGACGTCTTTCAGACCTTCTCCTATAAAAACTGTCCATTTGCGTTATTGATTATTTTTATCTTCTTTAAACTCTCTAACATGAAATATCACATAGCTTTGGATTCTTTGTAATTCTTTTGTTCCTCCTCTTGTTCTCACTGTCATCTCGTGTGTGTCAAGGGTTCCTACTAGAGTCCACTCCTTGGCCCTTCTCCATCTACCTTCTCCGTGGCTGATCTCACCCCTCTCCTGGTTTTAACTATTACCAATATTCAAATTTTTAAAAATAGGCACTGCCCTTTGCCATCACAGAATTTAGAAATGGACAGTTGCCTCCTACACTCATCTGGCTTCACCCACAGTTTGTGCATCTGTGTCTTGTAATCTTTTTTTTCTTTTTTAATTTAGGAAGATTAGCCCTGAGCTAACTACTGCCAATCCTCCTCTTTTTGTTGAGGACGACTGGCTCTGAGCTAACATCCGTGCCCATCTTCCTCCACTTTATATGTGGGACGCCTACCACAGCATGGCTTTTGCCAGGCGGTGCCATGTCCACACCTGGGATCCGAACTGGCAAACCCCAGACCGCTGAGAAGTGGAATGTGTGAACTTAACCGCAGCGCCACCGGCCAGCCTCTGTGTCTTGTAACCTTGATTGGACTAGATAATGATCAAAATGGATGACTCCTATACTAGAGCTATCAATCATTGCCTCCTACACTCACCCACGGTTTGTGCATTTGTGTTTTGTGACCTTATTGAACTAGATTATGGCTGAAAGGGAATCAGTTCTCAGATCGGGTTAAGCTAATCAAATTCCTTCCTTGAGAACTTGACCTTGCGCCACCATGAACAATGGGGGCAGCGGTCTCAGATGCTGATGTAACAATCTTAGTCGTCACAGTGCACTCTGGCTGTACATTTCACTTTTCATCCTTGGATATCAGTGATACATCTATCAGCTGATTACTGAAAAATCTTAGTTGATTAAAAAATTTACCTTTAACTTGTAAAAAAAATAAAACTACCATTTCAAAATAAAAACAAAAATCTGAAATATATGTGATTGCATGTTATTATCTTTGCTGGTGTGATCCTTTGGATCTTGTTTTTGACTTGTTGGCTGAAACTAGAGTGGTAGTATTTAGTCTAGAGCTAATTTTGCCTCACGACTAAGGCAAAATCCTTCTAAGTGCTCTGCGCAACGCCCCGTGAATCATTGTTTTCCACTCTGGCTAATGGGAGCACGACGCTGTGGGAGCAACAACCCTTGCTTCCTCCTATCCCTTCAGGTGGTTCCTCCGCTGACATTGAGTAGTTTTCTCACATGAATGCCCTTATTGGGACTCATTTAAAGATTCAAGGGCACCACTCTGCAGATGGCTAGAGTTTCTCTCTGTAAAGCTCTGTCCTCTGCCTTGTGACCTCTAGTCTCCTTGACCTCCCCAAATTCCCAGCTTTGTCTCCTCCACCACGCTCTGCTTAGATTTCCCTTCTCTGTGTCATAGACTGGCAACTTTGTCCAGGCAGTAAGCTGGAGAAATCATTGGACTCACCTCATTCTCTTCCCATCTCTCAGAGATCACTAGCCTTCATTGTATGATGTCCAGTATCTTAAAAACTGTTATGCCTTGGGGCCAGCCCAGTGGCAGAGCGACTAAGTTCACACGTTCCGCTTTGGCAGTCTGGGGTTTGCTGGTTCAGATCCCGGGTGTGGACATGGCACTGCTTGGCAAAACCATGCTGTGGTAGGCATCCCACATATAAAGTGAGGAAGATGGGCACGGATGTTAGCTCAGGACCAGTCTTCCTCAGCAAAAAAAGGAGGATTGGCAGTGGTTAGCTCAGGGCTAATCTTCTTCTTCAAAAAAACTGTTATGTCTTATATTTTATCAGTTTTTTAAAAGATAGTTGTTTCAGATATGAGAGTAAATCTGATTCTTGTTACTCTATCTTAGCCAAAAGCAGGAATCTTCTCAGAACATATTGATATTTTCAGATATTACATTTATCCAAGCAAGTTTCATACATATTGTCTCTGAGCCGATTTCCAGCCAAAATTAGGCATTGTTGCAGTTGCTCTGACCTGGATGGTTAGTGTTCATTAGCTAACTGGCATGTACAGATTCCTTTGATCCACAACAGCAGAATACTCATTCTTCTCAAGCTCATATGCAACATTCACCAAGATAGACTGCATTCTGGGCCATATGATATACACCTGAACAAATTTAAAAGAACAAAAATTATACAAAGTATCTTCTCAGACCACATAGTAACAGAAACCAGTAACAGAAAGATAGCTGGAAAGTCTCAAAATACTTGGAGATTAAATAACACACTTCTAAATAACACATGAATCAGAGAAGAAATCTCAAGTGAAATTAAAAATATATATTTTGAACTAAATAAAAATGAAAGTACAACTTGTTAAAATTTGTGGAATACAGCAAAAGCAGTGATTAGAGGGAAATTTGTAGCATTGGATACCTATGTTAGAAAAAAAGAAATATCTAAAACCAATAATCTAGGTTTCCACTTTAGGAAACTAGAGAAAGAAAAACAATATAAACCTAAAGCAAGCAAAAGAAAATAAATGGTAAAAATTCAAGCAGAAATCAGTGAAATTTAAAACAGGAAAGCAAAAGAGAAAATCAACAAAACCAAAAGTTGGTTCTTTGAAAGATCAATAAAATTGAGAAACCTCAGGCCAGGCTAACCTGGCTTTTTTTCCTAAGAGAGAAGACACAAATTGCTAATATCATAAATGAAAGAGGGGCCATCACTACTGATCCAGTGGACCACTATGGGAT